GTAATCACCGATCTTCGGTACGCTCTTCACCCTTATTTCATTATATCTTTCATTGTACGCTTTTATTTCATGTTTGCAGCTCCCTTATCTTATTCTGGAGCAAGGTCTGTGTAGTGCTTATCTGCCGAAGATTCCATTGTAGTTGCATTCGCCTCCTCTTTCCCCTTACGGAGAAGCGCACAGTGTAAGCAGACCATTATTCTCCAATTTGCAGGTCTGATGATTGTCACATAAGGAACAGTTCATCGGCTTCTGCTGAAAGATAAGGTGACTATCCTGATATTTGACGCCTCTAATCGAAATTGCCATTGGGACTAGTGAAAAAGCCGTACCATTGGCCTCTTAAACTTTAGCTAGCACGTGTCTGCTCGAATTGCACGGCAGTGGTCGCTAAAATATAGGCAGTCAGTAGTAACTACAATACCGATCAGCATGCAATAAGAGGATAAGGAGAGAAAGTTTATCGGTAGGAGTTCCTTACAAACATCGCCGTAGTTTGTTGCACACGACGAACTACTTATTTCGTTGTATATTTCACTAGTATTATCTTAATTCAAATTCCAAGCAGATACTACCTTCTTTCCCTGCTTTATAAATTAACGCATTTATTGACATTCTGCTGCTACTTTCTTGTTTGTTTGTTGACAAATCAACTGACCGCATAAGCCCAGGCATATCGCTGTTCACCTACATGTCAGTCAACTAATTATGACCAATTCGCGGGCATTATCTGGTCCTTGCTTGTATCCTAATGGTTTTGCATTCCCATTGGCTCCTGATTTACCCCTTTTCTATCGCGGTGGTTTATTCAATTGCCCTCGATTTGCTTATACTCACCTTTATTTTTTAATTATCGTGCCTATTTTTTCGTTGCCATACGAAAAGTTTTTTTGAAAATAATGGTGCCTATTATTTACTACCTTTATACGCTCTGTTCTTGTTCCTCCCCCCCCCTGACATGGCTCACCCATATAACCCGTATTACCATCGGTCTCGTATTGCACAATCCTGGCATTTTTTGTTACCGTAGTCATGTTTGTAAGTGATCCTTACCAGTATGTCTCCCAACAGTTAGCTCACCGCGATCGGAGATGACCAATTTCGTCAGTCAAGTCAAGTTAATTATGAGAAATGTTGGTAAACGCTTTTGTTACACAGTAGTGAAGAAATGCATCGGTACAGCCGAATATATGAAACGAGGTCGTTTAAATGATTGTAGACGACTACTCACTTGTTTCAAGTAACGCAATCACATGTGGTGTTGTCAAGTGACACAAGCCAGCAGGTGTTACTGAGCAGAAAGTGCAGGCAGTGAAAAAACTCTTAAGGCATGGCTGAGAATTTAAAAGATCGAATGTCATTTGCGGGATTTTTAGGAGAAAAACTGTTACTCGTGGGAGGAAAGTATGTGCAAAATAGGACGGGCATATTACTGAAAATGTTTGCGGCAAGCCAGGGGAGTCCATCGCGTTTAATATCTTTATCCGAAGGGCCGGCGATGCGACCAGGATACGCCCTTGCTGTCTGCCGCGTCTGCCGATAAGTTGACGAAAACAGAAGAACCCGCCCTAGTCGTCAGCAGTCAGTTCCACGTGAATATGAGGAAGAACTTTACAATGCCGCGTAGTCTAGGGCGATGTTGTATATATCGATCGACCCCTTCGTGTATAATAACAGTCCTTCGTTCTAATTATTCTGGCGATTACATAGGCGTGACGAAATCTTAGGTCGGTCGCCTTTCACTGTTTCGTTGTCCTTATTATGGTGCTTTTGCTGTTCATTTTCTACAGGGAGGAGGACACCGCACAAAACGTCCTCAGCACCAGTGCATCCACGCTCTCACCGGACGCTCTACTGGCCTCAAATGTCGCAAAACTCAGGGACAGCCTGCCAAAAAGATCACTTGTTGAACCGAAATTTGCCACCAAAGTTAACCTCGTATGTGATGCCCTTTTAGCAGCAATGCGGACAGCCGACTCAAAAAGGTGACTGAGAAGGCAGATTAGCCCATTCTGGGTCACTTTTACCAACATTCCCTGCACATCTTCACTTGCTACGTCTTTTCTTGTTGTCACTTTCATGTATTTGTCTTATCTTCTACGTAGTAGTTGTTATTGTAGTATGAGCGTAGTCTTTTTCTCGACGTAACACAGAATGGTTTAAGCATCCATCTATCGACTTTAATTGCAGAGCGAAATGCAGACGTTTTGATCGTAGCCAACAGCACGCCTTGTTCTGTACTCAAGGATTAAGTAGATGGACTTTGAGCCCTAGGCCTTCCCGACAGGAGGTTACGGTATAGTTAGATGGCAATGCCAAATTGAAAGTGTCCAGCACAGTTCATCTAGTGGAAACACTTCTTCAGACGTGTTCTTCTTTTCAAACCTGCTAACCTTAGAAAACACACAGCATCAGCTCCCCTTTGCTTCTTTCTTTATGGTTTCTCAATCAAGCTTCCCTAAGGCGGGTCAAGCGTTAGCCTAGGCCAGAAGGCTTCTAAGCCTCTTGATTGTAGACCTTAAGCACACCCGCGGTCCCACATAACGGCAGGTATTCATCAGACCACAATCCTCGAAATTAATTTGCCCCATCAAAATGGGGACTGAAAGACACCTCTCACTGTCACATGCAGTCGTATGATAAGTAGTCTGCCCGCCGAATCGGTGATGGTCAATGGTAAATTTGGAGGCTCGTTGCACCCATGTTTGCTTATGCCTGCTTTACCGCTCACTTAAACTCGTAAGTTCTTCGTGCACCTAGTTGGAATTGGGTATTTCCAAGTTAACATCTTTTATTTGGATTTCTTCCAGGTACCTTCTGCCAATCCTGACCTGCTACGTTAAAAAACAACCCTCGGAAGTGGAGAAGGGCCTTTTGCTGTTGAAGGGTCTTCGCGGTGAGTTCATATTCATTTTTGACTTTTTAGCTGATTCCGTCTTGCAGTACTCTCGTATTAATTTTCGACGAAATATGCCGGTTGCCACCGTCAGTATTAGCTATTTGTGTGTGCAATTTATTATCCAATCCACGGGCACTGCACTACTTTAAAAATATGCGATATATACATGTATACGACGCGATGAAGACGCTAGTAAGCTGTATCAACAAGGACCTGAAAAGTCTTCGGAATTCGAGAGCAATAACACAGACTGTTTAGAAAAATATGAAACCATACGATGCAGCCCTCACCTTCCCAAGGTCCACAAACCAGGAACCTCCCCCCCGATCGTTTCTGTAAGAGAAACCGCTATTTTCAGCCTATTCAAATGATTATTTCAACGTCTCAGGTTCCTTACTCAGATCTCTGTAAATACCATCCACTCAACTGAAAAATTCGGGCATAAACGTACTTTCTTTGCTGTCTATTAGGTGGCATTACGTTCAAGGATTGAAATGTCCATCCGTATTTTATGTTACTTCCACGAAGATAGCTGATGATTTGTACGGTTATGACGAGTGCTTATTTGACCCATGAGAATGTCCTTTGATCAGGACAAGGATTAAAATAAATTGGCCTCTATATATTGTTTGTGGTCAGATAGATTTTTATTCTTCCGCCTATGGTTGGTACCTGCTATCATTATTATCTGCTAATACAAGCGAACATGCTCCGTTTGCAGGCAATGGCGATATTCAAGCCTGGGACAAAGGTCTGCGTCATTTACAGTACTACCTCACTCCGATCAACCTCTTTCATATCGCTCTGGGTACCTACGACCTAGATTTGGCTGAAGCTATGGCCGCGCGCACCCAGCTCGACCCCAAAGAGTACAAACCCTGTCTGCAGGAGCTCCGGGGCCTGATGCAGGATGGAGAGGATCCAACCCTTGCTGAGGCCTACCAACACGCGCGCATCGACCTCCTGCTCGAGCGTTATACGCGCGCTCTGGAGAACTTAAAGACCGCC